CCCGTGGCCCGCAGGGTCTTCAGCCAGGCTTCCCTCTCCTCATCTGAACGGGTCTGGTGTGGGGCAGAGGGTCTGGGCTCAGCCAGTCTCCTGCCGGTGAGGGATGCAGGGGGCTCGGGAGTGCCGTGGCAGTTGCTCACCTGCAGCAGGGCGAGCTCCCGGCCCCGCTGGGCGATGCGGATGCGGAGGCGCTGGGGGGAGCCGGCAGCCGCCCCGGGAGAGACCTCGCAGCCCTCCAGCCGCAGGGCACAGACGGGGCGCTGGGCGCCACCGGGCTCGGGGAACATGCGCAGGGCTCCCTGCCGCACCGCACACCACAGTCGCTGCCACCGCCCACGCAGCCGCACCGCCAGGAAACCTGTGGGTGCATCCCCCATCAGTAGTGGCATGGGGTGCAGGGACACCCCCTCGCCCAGTCCCCATGCACCGCACCTCCTTTAGCATCCTCTCCGGGCCGGGGGCTGCGGGCAGGGCTCTGCCGGGAGCAATCTTCCTCCTTGCCGAGCTGGGACCCGGCAGCCTGAGAATGGAGATCCAGAGAGCCCCGGCCCCTGCAGGTTTTAAGCCCCCTGCACCCTGACCCCCACCCCACGGCAATGCAACCCTCCCCAGCATCACCCAACGGGGACAGCGGGACAGGGAATTGGGGTGTACTCTCGACACCCCCGGCAGCCCCTTTCCCGTGCCTGGGTTTCCCGGGGGAGGACAAGCGGCTCACCCTGCCGAGCCTCGAGGAGGGTGACGCTGGGACACTGACGGCTGCCAGCCCGCTCGGGGCATCGCTGCTGACCTCTTCGATCACCTGCCAAGGGACAGGGGGAGTGCTGCAGCCCTGGGCTCCTGCTCCCCCATCTAACGGGGCTCCAGGCACTCCCGGGATGGGAGAGGAGCTGGGGACAGACAGGGTCGTCCCCAGCCACCTCGGGAGCACCCCAGCAGGGCTGTGCCCCCATTTCTCCCTGCCCACCCCTCCCTCCTGCCCACGCAGAGCTCTGCCAGGCTGCAACACCTCCAAACCTTCCTCCAGTCCTCAGCCTGCTGCCGGCTCTGGAAGCCGATGACCAGTGCCTCGCCCGCCATCCCCATCACCTTCAGGGTGTGCGGCATCTTCTTGCCACGCTTGGCTTTGTAGGTGACGTGGCAGCCCCGCAGGTCCAGCTCCAGCACGGGCTGCAGGTCAGCGGCACACCTGAAGCACTGCGGAGGCACGGCGGGGTCAGCAGAGCTCAGGGACCCCGCTCCCACCCTCCATCCATCCTCCTCCGGCCACTCACCAGCAGCACGTGCTCCCGGACGATGAAGAGCTGCTTTGCCCACTGCCCCAGCCAGCGCTTCCTCCAGAGGAAGCCGCAGAGCTGCGCCTCGGGGCGGCCGGGGGCCTCGGCATCGGGGCCGGCAGCCGGCGGCTGCCACAGGTAGTGGGCACGGTCCGTCACGCTGTCCTCATCCTCCCCGTACGACTCATAGTGGCTGCTGTCGGAGTCGGCACCGCCTGAGAGCCGGGATGGCATCAGGGTGCTGGGTGCATGAGGGTGCCGGGGAGGGGGTGCGGTGGGGTGCTCACCGGAGCCAGTGCATCTGCCAGGGCCGAGGGGTTCGGCATCTTCATAGGAGTCGTCGGTTGGTGGGGATAGCGAGACACCCGGCACCTTGCTCTGGGGAGAGAAGGGGTGCTCCGAAGGTGCTGCCCCCCGGCGTGAACCTCGCAGGGTCCCCAAGGGACTGCCGGGGGGCTCTGCCCAGAGCTGGCAGGCAGAATGGGAACCTTCCCGGCCTGGCTGGACCCCCGTGTGAGCGAGGCTGCAGTGCAGGGATGGCCACCGGGTGCCCTTCTCCTATCCCCTGTCCCAGCACAGTGCTGCTGCCCGAGCCCCCCCGCACACCCGCAGCCCCCCACCCCTCTGCTGCCCACCCTTACCCCTCCATGCAGGCTCAGGGTGCTGGCCGGGCGACACTCGCAGGCTCTCCCTCCCCTTGCATCTGCCGTCCTGGTTCCTGGGGGGAAAAGCGGGACTGGGAGCGGTGTGCCGGGTCGGCGAGGAGCCGGGCATCCCCGGCCGCGCAGGATGAGCCACCGGCGGAGACGGGGTGTGGGTCAGAGCGTGTGACTCACCCGGGCTGGCCCGGCCCTGCGGGGTCCCTGGCGAAGGCGAGAGGCAGCGCATGATCATGTACTCCGCATCCTCTGCTGCAGGGGGAGCGCCCGGTCACAGCCCCGCTCCCGGCCCCTTCCCTGCTGCCCACCGGGCGCTAACCCGTCCACCCCACCCGCAGACCCGCGCTCACATGGGGGGCTCTGCAGCCGGGAGAGGAGATCAGCCACCGACTTCTTCTTGGCCCGAGCCGCGGTGCTGAGGCTTTCCCGGTCCAGGATGAGGAGGAAGGACCGCAGGTCCGACAGCAGCTTGTCCAGGTCTGCAGGGGACAGGGATGTGCCATCGCACCCTGCCAGAGGAGGGTGCAGGCAGGGATGCCTGTCCCCTGCCCGCCACACTGGGGAGGGCTGGCAGGGGCTCTCCGATGCCGAGCAAACAGACGTGGGGGTTACGTGCCCTGTGCCGCCGGCTGTGCCCCCGCTCCCGGCACCTGCCCCGGCTCCGCACAATCCCGCTATTGACAGGCCCGGGGTGCCGGGGGAGGATGAGGAGGGGGGACGGGGACCCGTGCCGCTGAAGGCTCCTCTGTGTGTGCTCACAGAGCGGGTTTGTTCCCGGTCAGGCGAGGGGAGCTGTGGCCGGGGGCCACGCCGGGCAGCCCAACGTGCAGCTCCTCCGTGCCGCGGAGGAGGAGGAGGCATGGCACACGGGAGCAGCTGATGAAGGCTGCTCCGGGCATGCTGAAAATGCTGAGCATTCACCCGCTGCCCACTCCGAGGGCAGGGAGCGGGGTCGGGGCTCAGTGCCAGCCAGGGACCCCAACCCTGCCGTGCCAGGAAGGAGGGATGGAGCGGGACAAGGAGCTGCTTTGTGCCTCCTCACCCCAGCCGGGGAAGATGGGAGTCCTGCGCCCTGCAAGCGGGACGGGACAGCACTGCCTCTGCCCCGAGGCGGGGGAGACCCGGAGGGCTACAGGCATGGGGAGGGGGTCCCTCCGGCCCTGAATGGTGGCTGCCCCGTCAGCTCTGGGTCCATGCAGGCGTTTCCTGCGCTGGAGGAGCATGTGGCAGAGCAGGACCACGCACACCCCCATCCTGGCCCTTCGCCCCGCTCCTGCAGAGCCCCCTTGCCCTGGGCACCTCCAGCTGCCACCGCAGGAGCGGGCAGATGCCTCCCGGCCCCCCCTGGGTCGCTGCCCACCTCCCCCCCCAGCTCCTTCCTGCCGTGCATCTGGAAGTGGTTTGCATCGCTCTGCTCCGGCCGCTCCGGGCTCTGGTCCCTGCTCCCAGCTGGGATAAAATGTTGCAGACCCGCTGTCGAAACCCACTGCCTCCTGGCACGGGGCCTGGCTGCGCCGGCTCCCCCCACGCTGCCCCGCTCCGCTCCCAGCCTCCCTCCTTGCCTTTCCCCTGCCATTTCCCGACTGGAAGAGGGACAACCCCAGCGAAGCCATGGCCAGCCGGGATGCTGCCCCGGTGACTCCCCACAATGCCCCAGGCGATCTCAGCATCCCCATGCCATGCCACATCCCTGCATCCCACATCACTCCGGGCTGGCGGGATTGCAAGGCACCCCTAAAGACAGCAGCAGCCCCCGGGGGAGGTGACGGCAGGCAGGGGGAAGGAGCCCGACGGTCCCATGTGTGTTAAAGGGGGCATGGGAGAAGCCCCTGCGGATGTGCTGGCACTGGGGGGAGCACCATCCCCCTCCCCGGTGTCCCTGGCTGGGGAGCACACACCCCTGCCCGGGGGGAGAGGAAACATCTGGCAGGGCAGCGAGGCTGAGCAATGCCGGAGCTGGGCCCAAACATCTGGATTTCCCTGGAAACTGGGGAAGGGAAGGGGGGGACCAGCCCC